GTTCTGTCATCTCAGGCCTCAATAACATCCTCAAAACATCCTCTGAATGTTGCAGTTAAAACGTTATGTCTTAGTTAACCTTAAACCTTATAGGAACATTATTTGAAAAAATAAACATCCTAAAAAGGTTCTTTGAACATCAGATTAAAACGTTTCTTTAAAACCTTATTAGAACTTGTAGGTAATGTTAGCCAAAGTTGTGAGAACGTTCCCCGCTAGCTGGGAGGTTACACTTTGATTTCAGCCACAACAGGTAAGACCACAATGTTGTAATATGTTTTAACGGGAGAATAACATCTATTACCCATGCTGCCCAGTCCCCGTGCCCTATCCTCCCTCCCTCTGCTGTATCTGATGCAGTCCTTGCTGTATCAAATGCTGCCCTCCTTCCTGTGTGCCTAGCCTGGACCCAATCACATTCAAGCTTCTGCGATGAGCAGGTGATCATCACCGCTCAGCTGGGGGCAGCATCAGCCAAATCACTTGGCTAATACTGTAGAAATGAAGACTGTTTCATCCAATCATGTGGCAGCTGACCAAGTCTTCAGGAACATCACTAGTCTCCCTCATTTACATATTGTTTTTGCTGTGTGGTACATTTTGTTGTAGTTTGATGCTGCCTCGAAGATATTGTTCAGGAATGCGAGTGGGCCCAAGGGAGTACCATCTGTAGCTTAGTCTGGTTTATAACTGGTTATGTTTCCTTTCCTCCCCCGCATCTCCTTTGCTTCCTGGAAGCAGCACAGAGACATCTCGTCTGCGGTAGATAGTGGTGTGTCCAAGGACTCGCTGCACACCAGGACCAGCACCAACTACATTGAGGGGGAGAGTCCCCACCTCCCCAAAGAACTGGACCACTCACTGGGAATTGCACGAGAAGAGGTGCCAAAAATGTTTATTTTTGTCCTATGAGTAACACTGTATATATTTTGATTATACATCGCACACTTTACTTGACACTTTTGTTACTACCTCAGATTGTGACAAAGGAGAAAGAAGTGCTGGAGTGGCAGAGAAAGTATGAAGACAGCCGACAGGAAGTGATGGAGATGAGGTAAGAAGTAGTATGTTGAGTTATCATCCTTTACAACACAGTGAGGTCCCACACATACACTACACAACGTAGATTTAACACTTCCCCGTGTTTATGCTAGATGGTACCGCGTCACCATGCTTAGTGTCTTCTACATAGACTCCACCCATCACTATTTAACCTTGTCAATTGGTTTATCTCTTCTGGGCGACTGTGGCTGTGAGGGAGTGTGGTCGTCTTTCAACCAGAAGGTTGTGGGTTCGATCCCAGCCCATGCAGTCAACATGTCGATGTATCCTTGGGCAAGATACTTAACCCTGAGTTGCTCCCGATGGCATGGCCAACGGTGTGTGAATGTGTGTGAATGTTAGGTCCTAGAGTAAGGTACACTGCTCTGTATGAATGGGTGTGAATGGGTGAATGACATGTAGTATGTAAAGCGCTTTGAGGGGTCTTAAAGACTGGATAAAGCGCTATATAAGTACAGTCCATTTATCTCGCTTTAAGTGTAAGTCATGGTTAATTGCAGAGTGGAGAGCCATCTGAGTCCTGCTATTAGCACGCGAGTTAATGGTGGAGAAAAGAGGAACCAATGATGTTTGTATATGATATTTGGCTACTTTTCATGACAAGATGTGTTAGTGGCTTTTGGTGTCCTTTGGATTATACACCATCAACAGTCTGAGAACATCTTAAAACTTGGATCAACGAACTAACTCATATTAACGTCCAGAGAGGATTAATCTACAGTATGTCTGACAATTTGGGTTCAAGGAAATACCATACTAAGACCTTGTTCCCTGTCAGCAGGTGGTGGGTGTGGGTCCAGCTGGTTATGGCTCAGTTAGTGTTGAGCTTACTTCATTTGACTGATTAGGTTGGGGATAAGGATGGGCTAAGATGCTAAAGGGGAGGCGTGGCTAATCAATCCTCTTACCCTTTATCAACCTGCTTTTCCCAAAACATGACTTCCCATTGGGCCATGCTGCTACTGGGCTTGAAGTGTGGGGGAGCCTAAATCTGCAATGCTTAGATGAAAACTGTACACACAGTGCAGATAAATAAAAGATACAGAGCTACTGATAGTTTTAGATAATCCGATGATCTAAAGTTGTAGCTTGGATGAAAGTTTGTTTGTTGCTTTCCTAAATTCTAAGAAGATATCTCTAAATAGCACAATTTTTTACTTAAAGTGGGAACAGATAACTTTTCTACTTTTCCTCCACTAGCATTACCATATGATATTATTGTTGGTGCAGTAAAAACAGGGCACACTGTAGTTGTTGATTAGCCTAACAAAGCAAGAAAGAACTGTAAAACACCCATTCATTGTTATAAGTAAGATTGTAGTAGACATTAAAAAGCAGTTTATTACTCAAAAAAACGAATCTACCCCCTCCTCCTCTCCCCGAAATGCTCTCCGGTAGGCAATGATGCAGTGTATATGTCTAGGGCTTTTATTGTGAAAGGGAGTTAAAAAATGTCTAGCAGCTTAGAGGGAATCAATCTGAATGCAGATGGTGTCATATTCTACGGCATAAATGCCACTTTGTCTTTTCCATATAAAAAATTCCCAGCATAATAAGGCAATATCACAACCAGGTTCGATCATGTGGTTTTTCTTGCTCGAACAGGCCGACAGACTGACATTTGAAAACATCTACACCGTGAGAAAATATGAGATACAGATTCAACCCCATCAATATATTGATGATCTGACATTTTTTCATCTATAGGAGGATTGTTGCTGAGTATGAAAGGACGATTGCACAGATGATAGGTGAGTTCAATTTTCTATACAGATTTTGAGTTGCTTACAAAACCAGAGGATTGGTTCTCAGGATATTGAACCCTTTGTCTCTCCAAACTCTGTCCCTACTTTTTGATGCCTTTGTTTGTTTTTTTTGCAATATACAAAATGTGTGCTCTACACTACATTGCACATTATTCCAGAGAGATGTATTTGTTATAATCTGACACAAGCTATCTTGCTTTTATGTTAGATTGATATGAAGTGAACCCTGATGTCATTAGAGTGGGAGGTATTCACCTTTTGCCCACACATGTCCAACTTTATTGGACTCATTAAATCTCGCAGCAGGTTCACTTTCCACATTATTCCTGCTCTCACCTACATCTTCTTCGCCACCTGAAGATTTGATTTCCGCTGCTGTCTAATTTAATTTTCTTCTATCATTAAAGCACTTCTCACAAAAGCCTCAATCTGTCGCCGCTCTTGTCTAACACTCGGCTCTCTCACGTGTCTTGCCCTCCCAGCTTGACTTAACACAGTCCCTTTTTTTCTGTTCTGCTCTCATCTTTGCTTCCCTTTCTATTTGATAACCCTGACAGGCATGCCAGGTGAGTAATGCGGAATTGTCCTTCACTTGTTTGTGTCAGCTCACATCTCGCCACCCGTACGTCAGAAAAGGGAGCAGATGTGCTCACTTTCTTCATCTCGTCCAGTGACATTTGTTTGTCCATTTTTGTTGCATTTCATCCTGTATGTTGAGACACTGTTTTTATTTTACTTTTTACTTTAGGAATAATCATATGGTATTTATTTTATCCATTCCCTCAGTGGTTGATATTAAGTACATCATTACTTTGTTTTTTATATTATATGGCTGCAAAAGTCACGCTTGCGACAGGAAATGAAAGGGAAAGCTGGGTAGGTGGCTGAAATATTGTGTAAGGTTCATCATTTAATATTTAAGGGTATAGAAACGAGCTGCAAGGGTCAAGCTGCTAGCTCTGATAATATTGTTTACAGGTCTCTTTGTTTTTCCCATTGTTAACTGTTTTTGTTTGCATGCCACATATAGTTTAGTATTATATGCTATTAAATCATACTAACCCACACATTCATTTTGATATTCTGTCAAAAATAAATGATCTGTTTGTAAGTATTTGTGGGTATAACAAGTAACATGTAATGTATATGTGACCAGTACAGCTGGCTCTTCAGACAGATGATCAGATCTACAGTATGTTTGTGTGTGTCTGTCAGAGGATGACCAGAAAGAGAAGTCTCTGTCCCACCACACCATCCAGCAGCTGATCATGGAGAAGGACCAGGCCTTGTCCGACCTCAACTCTGTGGAAAAGTCTCTTGCCGACCTCTTCAGACGTTACGAGAAAATGAAAGATGTCCTGGAGGGCTTCCGCAAGGTGACACAAATGCTCACGACTAAAGAGAATTATTAGGATCTGGCTTTGTAAGGCATTTAGATTAACAGTACATTTGGTCAGTATTTAAAAAAATGTGTCACTCTTTTCAGAATGAGGAGGTTCTCAAGAAATGTGCTCAGGAGTATCTGTGTAGGGTCCGCAAGGAGGAGCAGCGCTATCAAGCCCTGAAGATTCATGCAGAGGAGAAACTAGACAGGTGGGTCCTAATATCTACAGTTGAATCCACCATGACCATGTTGTTTCCCCCAAAGAGAAAGCATCACAACACATTAAATACATACACTTAATCAATGACAGAAGTAATATGTTTGGATATATATGCCAATTTAATTAGCTGTTGCTATAGAATATATATAAGCCATCTCCATTTTGAAAGATTTATTCTGCATTGGCTTTACAAACACGAGGTTGCAGTCTCATAGGACCTGAAGCTTTCTCATAGTTAACTGAATAATTAATGTGGTTTTTGAAGATTTGACAATGTGACACCTTTCCCTACTTTCAAGTCTACTTCCAGTGATCAGCACCTCATCACAACCTTTAGTGTGAGTTATTTTTCTCGCATTTTATTCACTCTCCTTGTATTACTTGTGTGGTTCCAGGGCTAATTCTGACATAGCTCATGTACGTGCCAAGGCCATGCAGGAGCAGGCTGCCCACCAGGCCAGTCTGAGGAAGGAGCAGATGAAGGTGGACTCCCTGGAGCGCACCTTGGAGCAAAAGGTCAGTCAGAACTTCTCAATCCTGGGGCTTGAAGGGATGATAAAACCATGGGAAACTATTCATTAAAACAAGTATGTTAATGTTATTTTGACAATTGTTTGACAGAACAAAGAGATCGAGGAGTTAACAAAGATCTGCGATGAGCTGATCTCCAAGATGGGCAGGAGTTAGCGACCACATCGCCAAATCCCACAGAGAAGAAGACCAGTTGTGGGAAATAAACGACTTGGAAAAAGAAGCTGATCCGTTGGTTTTGCAACTCTTACCAAGGACTGATGGACATTAAGGCTAAAATGGCCAAAAGGCTTCAGTTCCTACTGATGTTGTGTATACAGGATCCACAGGAGCGGCGTTCTCCTTATCACTCTGTACATTTTGATGTGTCGGTGTGTCGTTCTGTATCAGGGGTCTGGTTTCAAGAATATGTAACATATCACTTATGAGCGTGTCTGTGCGTGTGAGTGCGTGTATGATAATGAGAAAGCAAGATCATTGTTTGCAATTTAAATTATCTATAATGATGTTGCCATGACAGCCACTGAGGGAGAAGACTGTTTACCCATTCCTGTTGTTGTCTCCTCTTGATAAGAGAGAAAGATAGACTTTGAAAAACAGATTTAGATTCATTTATAAAATGTTGATACACCACCAAGAGAACACAAACTATCCCAATAGCTTACTGCATGTGGGAGAGAACCTGTATTGTTATGTTTGTATATATTGTAGGAAATTCCAAATATAAAAAAAGATTCTTCTGCATTTTTGATAGTTATTCTGTCATCCTCGCCCCACTCTCCTCATGTCACCTTGTAGATATTTGTCATACTTGTAATAGCTACCTTGACTATTGCTTGGGATTTTATTTTGATATAAAGCAAACTAATCGTGACCTTATTAAGTTGTGAGCTGGAGTCATTTAATCATTTTATGGATATGTCCTAGTTCTGCTACGGTCGTTTTGTCACACTGAGGAGTAACTTCTGCACAGCTGCTGTACAGCATCTGCTTACAAAGTGCAATAAAAGATGGCAATACAGCACCCTGGGTCCACTGATGACATGTTTTCTATTAAATGTTGTTGACCTGGCATGACCAATGAAGAAATTCTGATTTGTTACAATACACCTATTTATCCACATATTGGTGTTTATGAGGAAAATGAATATGCAAATAGAATTACTATCATTCTAGTTTTCTTCCAAAGTTGCTATGATTGAGTTAAATGAGGTTGAAAAAGATACCTGAAACTAATGGGTGAATGATTCCCCATGACTCTGATTAGCTCCAGAAATGTATTTGGGTTTTTCCTTGGCCCTTAGTAGACCCTTTCAACAAGTTTCATGAAATAGGATCCAATATATCTTCTGGAAACCTTCTGTCCAACAGCTAAACAAAAAACAAACCAAAACAAAGTTAAAACATAATTGGCGGAGGTGGAAATTAAGCATCTTTCTCTCAAAGTTGCAGTAGTTGAATGAAAAAACCCACAGAGCAAGCCAGAAAATCAACGACTTCATAATCACATTTGAGTGAAAATAATAAAATATAAATAATACATATGTTTATAAGCATTCACTCAAAAAAATATAATATAACATATTTTGACAAGTAATTGACTTCATTTGACAAGGATTATGCATTGTTCAATAAAGTAAAGTCAGTAAAACACATTTATTATAGCAGTATTTTTGAAACAGATGTCTAACCTGAATTGATTTACTGTAATTGGAACTGTAATATCAAATATCTTAACCATCTCTATAGAATTATAGAATCTACATAAGCACTTGTTGAAAAAATCTCACACAGGCAGACGTACCTCTCAGGGCAACCAATGGCAAATTAACCTGGGAAACTAAATGGCCACCTGTTGGGCCAAGTTAAAGTTCACAGATCAGTTAGGTAGTGCAGCAGGGACTGGAGCAGGTGAGACAGGGACAAGAAAGGGCTGATCTTCACTCAGGAGGTGTGGCTAGAGAACAGCAGTGAGGTGAGAGGTACAGTATGAAGGAAGAAGCAACGATTGAGCACAGAGCTGTGGGTCCCAGTGGAGGGTCTGATAATCTCAGTCAGTGCAGGATGGGATATTATCTCATCTGATCGCTCAGATTTAGCTCCGGGGTCTTTAGGAACAAACAATCTGCTTTGCATTGTGAGATCTCCAAGAGGACCGCCAGCGCCATGAGAGCTGTCCACTTCTGGCCACTGCTCCTGCTTCCTCTGGTCCTGCTAGCAACCTACAGTAAGGATTTTAGGTTTTGTATAGTTTTTTATATATACCCAGTCCTGTTCCCCTTTAGATCTCCCCTCTATTTGTTATCTATCAGTCAGTTTGACTGCAGGTATCTCCCTCCAGGTATATCCTTCTCCCTTGCCACTCTTGAATTTCCAAGAACAGTTTGCATTTGTTGTTTTTCTGTATTTCAGTGTTTTCTGAGAGACAGGAAAATAACTTATCCATTCTTATGTCAGGAAATGTTGAACATAACAACATTTCAGTTTTTCAGAAAATGCCTTGTATGTTTTAAAGGACTTATACCTTCTAATGACACTTTTAATCCTGTCAACTTTGCTAAGTTGCTGTTATAATTACTTAGTTAGTTAATTAGTGTTTTCCTTCCTTCAGTTTGTAATCTTCCTCTGTAACTAGCATGCAATCCTAACAGTTAATCTCTTAAGAGGCCTGAAGGCTAATGCTTGTAGCATGTGTGTGTAGAGCGGCTGTGCTGTGGGGATAGATTGGAGTCAACTATGAACAGCGGGGGGGTTTATTTGTCATGTCAACAGGCACACACGAAGCAAAGCAATGAAACAAGTTTCTCAAATCCATATAATACAATTGTGCTTTTATCAGTTGAAGGGCTTCACAAATGAATAATTTAATTATTAGTCTCATGAGGTTGATTTGCTGATTTTAAGAGAAGATTTCACCTTTCTGGTCTATACTGTAGATGAAGAGACATAACACGTGTCGGGCTGAACGACTTCCTGTCCTCCTACACATTATAACTGGCTGATAAAAGACAGTTTCAGTGATAAAGGATGTGATTCTGATGGCCAAGACAAAATATGTTTAGGGTCCAGCTCGATTTGGTCCTCTTAGGAAGAAACATGAAAGGCTGTTTCTGAAGGGACATTTAAGAATTTAGGATAAGGATGTAGGTTTTCAAAAGAAAGCTTTATAGTGATATTTTTAAGGTCAGTTAGTTCTCAAATAGGTGCTCATACTCCTCTCTAGAGCTTTAAACATACATTTTAGAGTTTTAAAGTGGGCCTCTGAAGCTTTAGCTAAAGGTTAGAAAGATTTATTTTTAAATCAGAGTGCACTTGTTTCATTCTTTGCTTGATTTAATGAAGACTTGTGTGAAGGAAGTGACTCATTGGGCCTCACTTCTATCTCAATGTGGGACAAAGTCATGCATCCGAGTCACTGCAATGTGAGGTGTCTGTTTGAACACTCATCCAACACACTGTTCCTGCTGTGTCGATAAAGGGTAAAACACATTCAGTTAAGTCCCTGGTAAGCATTGAATGATCTTCACGAAAATACTACAATTCATGATTAATGGAAATTATTTAATTTGAGTTTGCCACAATGTAACTCAGTGAAATTACTCTTTTGGAAATTAAATTGCTGTCTGATGAGTTAGCATGTTTGATGCTATCAACCCAGACTAAGATAAACTATACTTTAGAGATCACTTAACTATTTTCTTTCAACACGCCATGAAGTTTTCGTCGTCCTGCTTGAGTGTGTGCTGTAACAAACAGTATTTATTTGCTGCTTCCTCCAGGTGAGGCTCTGCAATGTTATAGCTGTATGGGCTCCAATAACGACGACTGCAACCGGCAAGGCTCCAAAACGTGTCCCAGCTACTCTGATGCCTGCGCTGTGGTGGTGGGCCATGAAAGTGAGTCCAACAATGACAGATAGTAACCTTTCTTTTACAAGCTCTTTTTTTCCCACCCATATTAGAGATACAAAAAGCTGTTTTTATATAGGTGAGGTTGTGGGTTTAAGTGAGGACAGGCTGCTGTCTGGAGGCACATCCCAGCAGGTGGTCCAAGGCGTTTAAGGAAATTAAGAGCTTTGCTGCACCTACCTGATCAATATCCTTAATTAGGAATCCATGTGTGCAAGGCAATAAAACAATTTTCTTTCACAAACTCAATTCAGTTTTTAAATGTTTTAATCATAAGAAAGGGGCAATAGGAGATGTCCTTAAATGACAGATATTAGATACTCCAGTTTCCCTACATTAATGCATACTGGACACACACAGACAAATAACAAAATAAAGAAGGAAAGGGGTTTGTTCATGTAAATCAACTGCTTCACCAGTGTAACTGAATTCTATTTCTGCCTGTTTTGTCAGGTGGGGTGATGAAGTCATGCTCCTACAAGTCTTTCTGTACTCAGGCCAACAGCCAGGGCTACAGAGCGCCAGGTGTCAGAGTTCACTGCTGCTACGGGGATGACTGCAATGTGACCAGTTTTGCCTACAGGCTGCCAGGACTCAACTATCTGCTGCTGATTCTGCCTCTGTTGTTCCACTGTGTTTTGCAGTAGACCTACTGCTCAACTTCACCATGCCAACAATATCCACCTGTAAGACAAATGCCAACTGGTGTTGTTCTTATTTACTCCAAAAATGCCAAATAACCCTGCCTAATTGTATGCGTCATGCTTAACTACCATTCCACTCTTCTTTGATATACCTCATGTATCCAAATAAAAACCTATACATCAAGCAGTTACTATATATATAAACTTGAGGTGCTAAGTGTGACTGCATGGATTATATATACCATGTTGGATTGACTCCAAGCAGTACTGAAGTATATTTACCTTTCAATGGATTTTACTAAGCCATTATCTAAAGGATTCTAAGGGAAGGGCTGTTATACGCATAGATAATTTATTATTAGCTTTCTATATTGATAAAGGAAGAGATGCTGTTCATCAGTTAGCTCAACCTGGTTAAATGCTCTGTACACAATGTGTGAAATGACTGAAAGGATTTTACACAACATACATTGACGCCTGAGTATCTCAGAAGAGTTTTGTTGGAGTAGCAGATGTTCCAGTATATAAACATGGCCCTTAAGAGTTCAATCATCTGGTATGTTGTTACATCATTAGCCTTCTATCTGACGAGCATGCCACCACTGTGCTGTGCGAGATATGTTGAGGGTGGTGAGAAAAAACTTCTCACACACAGCAAATCAACGTAAGCCTTACACACCACAGGCAAGATGTGTTACACCATTGAGGTTAATCCACTATACGTTTGAAGATACTTAAAGAATGACTGAGTATAAACAGTATCTGTGACTTCTCACTGGAAGATGGCCTATAATCTAAATAGCAGCTCTTGTATATATTGTGCAGAATATTAAATAAAAAAATAATTATGTCCATTTTATGAAGAATACTGTTTATTGTGTATTTTTATTTTGCAATTATTTCTAGAGAACTAACATTAGGAAATGTTCCAACTTCAAAAATCATTAAATATAAAGAACCTTAAGATACTGTACATGTATTTGTGTTACTGCGTGTACACTTCAGTCTGTACATCATGTCATAATTTCAGCCCTAAAAACAACACTGACATATAAAACAAATCATTTAAATATTTTACAGCTTTTTCCTTTTTCCTTCAGTAGAAGCTGCAGTGGGCTATTATTCTTGTGCGGAGGTGGAAGAAGTACTTGTATCTTGTACTTGGGTACTCTTTTACAAAGTCCGGCATTCCAAATGTTACTCAAGTAAAAGTACAAAAGTATTGTGGTGGGAATGTATTGATCAAATGTGGATAGAGAATCAAACCATTCTGCTGTCTTTTTCGTATTTTAGTTCTTGCAAGAAAGTTCAGTCAGTCATACAGAGAGCATACAGTCTGCAGAGTGAAAGACGAAGAATAGAGTTTGGGTTTCATATTTAAACACAGAGAGAGGAGAAAGGGAGGGGTGAAGCTTGGTGATAACAATGGAGCATTCTGGAAATTAGGGAGGCCGTATCAGGATGTTCTCAGTTCACCTGAGTTGAAGGTCATACTGTTGGTGCACATCGAGTGTAACTAACAACACTGCAACAAATCTTCTTAATAAGAAATGTTCCCAAGCTTAGCAAAAAAATGAAAGTAGTAAATATAGATAAACATTAGCAAATACAAATCACACAATGATATTATTAAAGTGAGTATAATATTTTTCTATTAAAAGTATGAGCATCAAAATATACACCAAAGTAAAAGGACTCATTATGCAGACCGGTCCATTTCAGAATCATATTATATGTTTTGATTATTATTATTGATCATTAAAGTGTTATCAAAGCAGGTTAAGGTGTGGCTATTTTTAATGACTTTGTGTACTGCAGGGTAGCTTGTGAATTTACTCCAGGTGTTACTAAAGTGTTATTTCAGTGATGATTATATTTCACATCATTAATCCAAATCTTTAAAGTAACTAAAGTTATTTAGTGGAGTAAAAGTAGATGATTGACCTCTGAATTGTAGTGGGGTAGAACTACAAAGAAGCAACACATTGAAAAACTCAAGTAAGTTACAAGTATCTCAAAATTGTACTTCAGTACAGCACTTGAGTAAATGTACAAGTTACTTCCCACCTCTGTGCTTGTGTGCATACATTCTACCAGAAACGTATATTATCTGTCCTGGGATTGTTACAGTGAATACAAATTATAATCCATAAAATATCTTAAAACTGATGAGATAGTAGTGTTTTGTGAGTTGTTTGTACATAGGTCTGTGATTCACAAGGGTTTCNACATTATGGGAAGAACATCTTTAATGTGTTACCCCAACAACGTCCAAAACACATCCTTAGAATGTTGCAGGCAAAACGTTCCACCTTTGTTAACATATCTGATATGTTAACAAAGGTGGAACGTTTTGCCTGCAACATTCTAAGGATGTGTTTTGGACGTTGTTGGGGTAACACATTAAAGATGTTCTTCCCATAATGTTACATGATAACCAAAAAAGAACATTCTGAAAGCAACATTTGGATAATGTTTTCAGAAGGTTATTCTTTTTTATAAAACGTTCCTGTGATGCAAAATATTAACACCGTCATGGTCAACGTCAGATTTATTTGTAGTGCGCTTTAAAAAACAAACTTGTTGCATTTGTTTGAAAAGGATGTCTAAAAAAAATCTGATGTCACCACATTCTCCTTTTTTTTTGAACAAGCATGCAATTCATGATATTGCCGTGAACGGTTTGTTGCGTGCCGCTCTAGCTTTTTACCAGCATATTCTTAGACAGTTTTGCCTGCTTTTGCCTCACGCTCATTTGTATGTCTCTCCCAGGAGGAATCCAAGGCCTTCCACACTCCCAAGACCAGCCAGGCCTCTCTACCCTGGAACAACTGTTTCCCACTGCTGCCATAGCCAACCNGGGCTCTATAGGATTTAGATCAAGTGACTGTGGCCATCGGAGAACAGTGAACAAATAAGACCAGCCAGGCCTCTCTACCCACCCTGGAACAACTGTTTCCCACTGCTGCCATAGCCAACCTCCACTCCCAGCTCCCCTTTTCTAATAAACAAATGTTACTTTCACCAGCTGATTCCGAGTCATCCTTTTACATGTGTTAATAGTCAAATTCCAATAGTTAAGTAAACTAACAAAATCATCCTAATGACCACAGTGGTCAGTCCACTCACCCCGGAATTTTGAGTTGAACAATTACACGAATATTATATCTTTATGTTCTAATAATGTAAACATATTTTAGTAAATTGTTACCACAGAATATTTGCATAATGTTTTAAACATAAAGCAAGTTATCCTTCTCTAAAATAATAACATTCTGGCAAAATAAAATCTAACTTGCAGCTGAAAACGTTTTAAGAACAGTAGGGCATAATGTTCTGACAATGTTATCAAAAGCATTTTAGGAAGGTTATCACCAAACATTTTAAGAATGTTTTTAAAGAACGTTATCCTACCTTTCAGAAGAACGTTCTGGGAACCAAAAGAAAACTTCCCGCTGAAAACATTCCATTCCTTTTAGAACAAAACATTTCTAGCTGGGCTGTTACAGCATTTAGCCAACTATTTGAAAAATGCAAAGACTATGATGTGAAGGGAACAAGAAATTCCAGAGGATTGATCTTCAGAAAGACTTTGGTTTACTGAGAGACAATTAAAAACGAAGTCTTATGCATCTATTTGTGTAACCATTGCAACCTAATGACAACAATTCACCAACACTTTTGGTCCCCTAAAAACTGTAGGTTTATTCTGAGAGAGTCTGGTTTTTGGAGGATTTCATAAAATGATGGTGGCTTACAGGGTACAAGGAGATCCACTAATATGCAGAAAAGCGAATAGAAGTGTTTGGCTTGCCTGGATCAGTAACTTTTTACCCACTTTTGGGCACCATGTGTAATTGGACTTCAGTGTTGTATAGGCAAAAAACGTAAACTTTCGACTTGAAAAAGAAATAGTTGATGACGAGTCAAACACAAAAACAACCCAGCAGCAAATGTATTTATTCAAGACTAAAAGAGATACTAAAAACTACAGATAACACAACTTGGACTCATTTGCTCACAGGTACAAAGTACAACTAAGGGAATCTAAAAAGTAATTTATAAAAGGTCTAAGACTTTTTGACTTGGGATCTACAGGAGTTAGTTTACAGTGCAGTCTAAAGGTATTTGAGCAGTGTGGGAAATGAAGCCCTATTGTTTTCTGAGCAGTCTAAAATTGGAAGTAGACGACTACGTTTTGAAGTGTTGTGATTCCTACACTCTTAGCTAATGTAGACGTGTTCGACTTCATTCCCCCTGAGCACTGTAACCTCGTAGTTATTTCAAATCCATTGTGCTTGTGAAGTGAGCCAAAAACAATGAAATGACCAAATACTTGGACTGCACTGTGGTTGGATTATAGGACGGGGGCGGATCAAGGGGTATAATGATACTCTTACTTTAAGTAAGGGTGAACCGTTGATATTCCATCGCCGAGTGCTGGGTTTCTTTAGTCTAGACTGTGAAATGTGTGGGACACAGCATGAGACAAAGCGGAGAAGGAAGCGTCTTCCTTCCAGCTCTGACACTGACTTCTATTTTAATGTTCATAAATCACCTAAGGAAAAAATAATCCCTATTCGTATATCCAGGCATGTGCTGTTTCAGCATAAGCCCTCCAACCAGCAAAATTCTCACACTCTACCCTAACTACTGACACCTACCTGTTTGTTAGTGCTGTTAGTCCGGAAAAAGGACCAATTCAAAATACAAGAATGTGACTGGGATTTAGGCGGATGATAGCAAAGCATCAACAAACACATCTGGGACAGTTACATCCCTAAAATTCCTTGGCTGCTGATATAACGTCCATCAGGAGACAATCCCAGTCACATTCATGCCATTGTAAGGCTTTTAAAAACAGGCAACATGCAAGTTGCCTAACAGGAGACAGTTGAGGAGCTCGCTGCTAGTTGGGG